GGACTCTTAGTTCTATGTCATACAATTCACACATGGGTAAGCCTACAGGAAAAATTATGCTTTTGCCTTGTTCACAAGTGTTATGTTTAGTGCACAGCACAGTAGCTGGCATAGGATTGCAGTCTGTGAGAATAAATTCATCTTTCTCATCATACACTAAGCTGGGCTTCTACAGAGAGCAAATTGCAGCGATCATGGCCAACCCTGAGTATGCTACTCCATGACTGTTTCCTCACTTATTTACAGTTTTATAAGTCAGATGTATGAACTTAGTGGAGTCCAAATGTAAGCTAAGCCTGAAAGGACAAGGCCCTCAAATTTTCATAAATTCATCAAGAAAAATCTCCACAACGGCTTTGCCCCTACTTGGCCCAAGAAATGGGCACCATTCATTTCTGAAGGGATTTCTCCCTTCCTACTCTCTGGCACAGCAGAGCCAGGTGGGTTACAGCTAGGCTATCAAGAGAAACTATAGAGCACTTCTTGACTATTGCTATATAACATGTGCTTCTTGACTTCTTGACTCATGTTGCTATAACATGTGCTTCTGTGGAAAGGAATGTTGCATCATCAGTGAGCCTGGTGGCTCAAGCCTGTAAGAGGCCAAGGTGGGTGGATTGCTTGAGCTCAGGAATTTAAGACCAGCCTGAGCAAGAGACCCCCTCTGTACTAAAAACAGAAAAACCAGCTGGGTATAGTTGTATACACCTATAGTCCCAGCTACTTGGGAGGCTGAGGCAAGAGAATTGCTCAAGCCCAAGAGTTTGAGGTTGCTGTGAACTATGAAACGATAGCACTCAACCCAGGGTGGAAAACAAGAATGTTGCAATGTGAAGTATTTAAACATAATAGGTTCCTGTAATGCCAGTGTTCTGATTCAGACAGATGGGACAGAAACTCAAGCATGGAAGGCAGGTGCAACGTGGCTTTATTCAACTCCTGGGTGGCAGGGAATAAGGGCAGTCAGCCCTTATCCAACTCCTGGCGTCGGGAGTGCTGAGTTACATAGAAAGTCTACATCCTATAATCCACAGTCAGCACATACAAGTCTTATACAGGTATACCCTTTATACCCTGGGGAACAATAATGGCAGCACACCAAGAAGCATTAGGTAAGTATGAGTTCACTGTACATAGTTATGGCTCTTCAGGAACCCACGGCACTTTCCCGTGGGTAAGAAAGCCTAGACAACTTTATCTTGTCCCATACCCAAGGGCATGGGTGAGAAAGCCCAAACCACTTTTGTCTGTCCCTACAGTTCCTAAAGTGAGTAGCTAAAAGAACACCTGAAACCAGGTTAATTTATAAAGAATAGAAAGTTCTCAGTTCCCAAGGCTGAGAAGTCCAAGGTGCCAGCAGATTCAGATGTTTGTCGAGTTACATACTCCATAGGAAAGGAATACTGTCCTTACATGGCAGAAGGAGGAAGGGCAATTAGGCCGAATGCTGCTAGAAGGGCTGGTCTGAATCCCATTTATGAGGAGGAGCCCTTATGGCCCAATTAGCTGTTAAGGCCCCCACCTCAATACTGTCACACACTGGCAAACACCCCAGAGAGGAAAGTAACCTAAATTGGTTCAATACTTGTTTTCCCCCCATCTTGTCTTAAAAGGGGTATTTCCTGGCCAACAGATTTTTTACCTTTCATTAGAAACCCAAAGTCCATTTCTACCCACTGCTATAGAGGAGTAGTGCTTTCTTAGATACACTTACAGAGTTTGTTTGTGTGTGTGTGTGTGTGTGTGTACAGAGATAGGGTTTTACTTTATCACCCACAGTAGAGTGCGGTGGCATCACACGGCTCACAGCAACCTTAGGCGATTCCCTTGCCTCAGCCTCCCGAGTAGTGGGACTACAGGTGCCCCCCACAACGCCCAGCTATTTTTTTGTTGCAGTTTGGCCAGGGCCCGGTTTGAAACTGCCACCCTCGGTACATGGGGCTAGTGCCCAGAGCCACAGGCACCGCCCACACCTACAGGTTTTTAAAGGCCAAGAGCAAACGCAATTAGGCACCAAATCATCACCACAGAAGATAGGAGGCTAACATGTCATGTTGCTACTCTTCTTAATGCAAGTACAAAGTCAAGAACTGGACAACTGGGCCCCAGTATTTCTCTTTGTAATGGAAAATTCCATTGTAATGGAAAATGAAAGAGAAATTTCTCTTTCTCCTTCCATTAGCCTGGACAAGAAAGTCCAGTTTTTTCTCCCCTTTCTTTTGGCCACATTCAGCATATAAAGCTGCCTTGACATTGTGATGAAAAGCATTCATGAACGTGAACCACAGAGCTGATGTTGAATGCACTTGAAGTTACTTCTACAACAGACAGCAAGTTTTTTCCAAATATATTTATTTAACACATTTTTCACATTTGCAATACTTTGCCACTTTGTATGTGTGTATATAAGTTTAATTTTTTTAAGTAAATGCTAATATAATACATACTAAATAAAGTATTGGCACCAGTGATTAGTCAAACAAGAACTTACAAGAGAGAATAGGAAGTCAGGAAAATAGCAAACAGAAATGAATTAGAAATTTAATTAATATGAAAACCTTTGAAAACAACTTTATATTTATGTGATCTTTCTGTTGCTCTCAGAACATTGTGGATTAACACACAAACTGGAAAGATGCAGGCACAGGCAGCAGCTTCTCTATCCCAAATGGCAGAGTCTTCAGTGGGGCTTCAGCTCTGCCCACCCAAGAACTGGCATGTTTGTACATGGGAATTGAAACTATTTCAGAGAGTGTGTGACTGGGTGCGTGAACTGCCTATTTCAAAAGGATTTAAAACAAAGTACAGCTACTGCTTCATTCAGAAAAAACACACCACAAAACATGGTATACTATCTGTCAGCTTAAAATTTAGCAATCTGTTGGAAGAGGCTTATTGACACCAGAAATGTGAATATATTCATGTATAAGAGAGCACTTAGGAAAAATAAACATCACAGGGCAGTTGGAGGGGGTTTTTTCTTAAATTTTATCACTTCTGAAATTAATTCTTCCTCAAGCCCAAATCAGCTATTGAAGTCTTTATATTTTACCTAAAAAAGGGGAAACTTAATATACTAAGGATTCAGTAAACTGTATACGTTACACCAGCTCTCTTCCTAACCTAAAGCTTTTCAATGTTATTACTGATTTTCAAACTACACATTAAATTTAGGGGGAAGAAGGAGGGCATTACTCTCCTTGGTTCACCCTGAGTAGCTATTTTTTAATCTTCTCTTTAAATTGGGCTCTTATGTAACACTTAAATGCTGTACTACCAGATGAAAACTTTAATGTCAAAAACTAATCAAATCCCTACATAAGCTTCACTTATTATAATATTAATTGCATTCCTCAAAACATTCATGTCCCAGTTCCTTCAGTTTCAGTCAAAAATCTTAGAGATAAGATAAATAAAATAACATACTAGACAGATCTTTGTGTGAATAGTGTATAGCTATACACTATATATAGCATAGGTAATACATAGTATTACATAAATTACCTGAAATTTTGCCCAAAATTAGTAAGCATGTCAAATTTATAACAAGAGTATGAGCTATCTTCCATTAAGAAATTTATTCTGCCTTTCATAATTGTAAGTGTTCTCTTTGTAGAAATAAGGCCTCAGTAGTTTCCATCCCCTCCATAAATTCTAAAACTTAAGTATACACACTAGTTGCACACATTTGACAGAAATACCTAGGTCAGAGTAGATGCGTATTTCTGTATTTTTTTAAAAGCTTGCTACCCTGCCCTAATACCAACGTGGATAAACATAAAAGTCATTTTGTAAAGGAAGAAACACGAACAAATACCTTTAAAAACTTGGTTAAACATTACCAGGTATGGCTTGGCAGCCATAGTCCCAGCCATTTGGGAGGCTGAAGCAAGAGAATTGCTTAAGCCCAAGAGTTTGAGGTTGCTGTGAGCTGTGACGCCAGGGCACTCTAGCCAGAGCAACACAATGAGACTCTTTCTCAAAAAAAAAAAAAAAAAGGAAAAAAAAAGACCAGGTAAATCCCACTGTGCAGTAGCCTAGTGTATCAAGATCCAATGCTGATATCATCCTGAGAGTCTACTTCGAAGTACATATTCTTGGCAGCATGCAGCATTTGAGACATTCACATTTTTAAAAGATACCAATGAGACAGATAATAAGGATTAAGGTTTAGAATTTACGGAAGCTAGTGATGTGCAATACTCTTATGAGGTAGTTATTATGCCCATCTTACAGATGAGGAAAACTGTGGCTCTGATAAATCAAACAACTTTCCCAAGGTCACACTGCTAGTAAGTATGGAGCTATCTTAATCAAAATCCCATGCTCCTTTCACTGCACCAGTACATCTCAGTATATTTTGGGGGGAGTGAGTGAGTCTTCCAAGCAAGAAGGGTTTCAGGCTCATCATTACTATCTCAACCAAAAGTAGATATATGTTTTATCTGTTTTTTGTGCTGGGCTTAAGTGAACATTTAAAAAAAAAAAATGGTTCCCTAACTAAAAGAAAAGTTCAAACTACTATACTCTTATCAGGCCACCTTGATACTACATTTATCTGACCTTTGTTATTTTTTTCTTATACAAAACAAATGAATTTTGCTCAAAGGTATTTATACCCAATCTTTGCACAAAAGACCTCTCAGCAATTAATACATTACATCTTTTTAGGCTATGAAGACCAAATGACCAACTTTTAAATACATTATATTGTTTTCTATAAGACTTTAAGATAAAATTTTTCAGGCAAGTATTTTAAAATTATATTGTAAATTGTCTATACTAAATAGACATACTAAATGAATTAGGCTTTACGACATAACCTATGTTTGCCAATATATTGTACTTTCTTAACCTGCTAGTTGTCACCCACTTGATATCTTGCGACTAATGAAAAAGGAAAAAACATTTACCCCACTCCTTTGCTTGCAAATGTTACAGTTACTGACAGGTTAAAAGAAGCCTCAGTTTTCTAATTAAATTATAACATGAGGCAAGCAGTTTACCTGCACAATTACAGTACATTAATCCACCAAAGAACAAAATAAAATTCTATTTGATTCATTATTGAGGACTGAGAACAAAAGTATCTAACAAATTAATCCCATGCGTAAATGTGCTTAAAAGATCAAATTAGAGAGGTAATAAGAAAAGAAATACATATAATTAATTGTTCTGTTGGATAATACACCCCAAATCATGGTTACTATCATTAATACTTCTTATGAAAAAGAAATTTAAGCACATTGCTTTTGAGAAGGCATAAAGAATCATCCTGTAACTGTAAATAATTCTCACTATTAGCAAAATAGTGAAAAAAAAAATCTTCTTGAAACATGTTAGCAAGAGTAAAATGGTCTCTGTTTAAATAGTGTAAATGATGATTTGAAAAAAAGATTTTTGCTAAAAGCCACAATCAGATCATGGCTATCAAACCAGTTTCTCTCACAGAAAATGGCCATCTCTTTAACTGTTATATATGTTTTGAAAGTTTCTTAGGACAGTTTTACCATTTCTAAACAGTCTATAATTCTACATATCACTTGCTCTCAATCTCAGGGAGAAAAATCACTAACAAAGGGAAGTGCAAAAACTAGCTATTGCTGGGCATGGTGGCTCATGCCTGTAATCCCAGCACCTGGGAGGCTGAGACAGGGGGATTGCTTGAGCTCAGGAGTTTGAGACCAGCCAGAGCAAGAGCAAGACCCCATCTCTAAAAAAAAAAAAAAAACAAAACAACTGGGTGTGTGGTGGGTGCCTGTAGTCCCAGCTACTCAGGAGGCTAAGGCAAGAGAACGCTTAAGCTCAAGAGTTTGAGGTTGCTATGAGCTGTGACATGACAGCACTCTACCGAGGGCAACAAAGTGAGACTGTGCCTCAAAAAATAAATAAAAACTAGCCACTATCAGCCAACCAATGCAGTATTCAGAAACCCTACAGAGAAACAAAGTCCTGTTGTATAAAGTAAACATTTATAGTACTTCTTAACAAAAATATACACCTAAAAAATTCCATTCTCTTGCTTCAAAAGATTGGCTTATTCATAACCAAGTCATAGACCAATCTGTTCTCATTATCTTTAAAATGAAGTTGTAAGTTCAAGTAACTCATTCATTTTAATATTTATGAAAAATGCAGAAATAACCATCTATATTAAAGCTGTCTTGTTAGAAGGTTATGGTTCCATTACAATTACAATACCACTGTCGCAGAACATTACTGCCAGAGAACATTGAATATCTTTTTACAAGTAACCTCCTTTGAGGTGTGCTTGTGTGTGTTGAAGCTGTATTTAACGTTTAAAATCTGCCTAAATTTATCTGAATCAAAGACATGGTGAATAAAATAGGTGAGTAGGCTGGGTACTTGTGGCCTAAAGTAGGATGTGTCTATTTAGAAACTCTACTTACCTTCTTCTGAGATTCAAAACTGACTTTAAAACAATTCCAAACTGTACCAAGAGGCCCTCCAAGTAACAATCATCTGAATAATTCATAAGTCTCACTTCTTTGGGTGGAAGGTAGAACCAGAAGGTAGGTTTGTGACATCCTTTGCAATGCTCTATCTTTACAAACAAAATCACACCTCATATATGCAGACAAAATAATTCCCACACAACATTGTATTAGTAATGGGCATTGTATAAAATGGAAATATTGCATAATAGAGTACATTTTATTATAAGCAATCACACATTAATTTGTTTCACCTAAAAACATACTATCATTAAAAGTATAATAATTGAGCAAATGCAGAAGCCAGCTTCTGGATCCTTAAAGGAGGTGAGTAATAGTTATATTGCAGACTCACTAGCCTGCACAATAATTCAAGATAAGTCAATATCTTTTAGACAATAAAATAACTGTTCTAAAGGATACTTCTAAATAACTTCAAAGATCTTAATACCCTAAGGTTAAAAAACATATCTTCCATGTTAAGTTCCAAGACAAACAAAATAATTTAAACACATGATTGACTTACAAATTTTTTTAAAGATTACTTAGGAAGTTGTAAGAGGAAATGTCTTTCTTTTTCCTGTGCTACTTCTTTCTTTTTCCCTATTTCTGATCCCTTCAATATAATATTATTGATGTAAACTTAAGAATTCAAGGCAAAAGGCATCTTTTTGCTTCACAGAAATCATGACCTTTAAAGAAAACAAGGTAAAAACTTCAGTAGAACTGAACTTTAAAATATGTATATATATATGTATACATATATATGTGTATAAAATAGGATATATAACAAGATCATCTTTGGAAAACATTCTGTCTACTAGAAATAGCAAAAATCATTCCACATTTTTTTTCTACCCAACTGGATGTTTAATTAGTCTCCATTCCAACAAATGTGCATGGAAAAAAATTCTAACCCAGAGGTACTTAAACAATTTCTTCATATATCTTTTGGCTAATTCAGTGGCCAAGAAAGTATGATGTTTAGTTTCTTATTGGACGGAGCCAAGAAAACAAAATAGCTATAATTACCAAGGCTAAAACTGATATGACCAACAAGAACAGCAATACCTCAACTATTAAGTCTCCCTTCTCTTGTCCCCATCCCAACAACAACAAAAAGTCCTGCTTAAGTGTACAAGATTCCAGTGAACTTCCAACAGTTTTGCTTCAAGTGACCTAGAAATGGAGTGAGTCATCCATAAAGCTTGCAGTGGCCCAAATGACACAGGTAACTTCAGTAATAGCTAGAAACCGCAGGCTCCAAATCAAGGAGAATCACCCCATCTTCAGCGACACGGAAGAAACAAGAGTCCAAACTTCTAAAACATGTATTGACAAGTCCAGGAACGTGGCTGGATATAATCTAGAAATGTGGGCTACAAAGGAAAATAAAAAGAATGGAAGAATAGTTTGTGTGAGAACTATAGAAGTGTGAGAACAGGAAATGTTAGCATTATATATTGTATATCTCTAAAATGCCTCACAGCATTTCAGTAACCTTCAAACTAATAGCAGTTCACTAATTCAAAAGATGTTCAGTACTTTTATCTGTATCACAGATTTATTCAATTTAGAATCTTCATATGGGGTAGCACCTGTGGCTCAGTGAGTATGGCACCAGCCCCATATACCGAGAGTCCTGAGTTTGAACCCAGCCCCGGTCAAACTGCAACAAAAAAATAGCTGGACGTTGTGGTGGGTGCCTGTAGTCCCAGCTACTTGGGAGGCTGAGGCAAGAGAATCACCTATGCCCAAGAGCTTAAGTATACAAGATTCCAGTGAACTTCCAACAGTCTGGAAGTTCCTGTGAGCTGTGACCTGCCCCCCCACCCCCCGCCCAGCACTCTACTGAAGGCAACAAAATGAGACTGTCTCTAAAAAAAAAAAAAAAAAGAAAGAAAGAAACTTCATATGAAGCTTTTCAAGTGCAGTAAATGTTAAACAAGTGCATGAACTTTTGACCAAATTCTAAATAGGCACAGTTTCTTCCTCTATCTTGCCTGTTTAATTTTAGCACAACCTTACTGGATCTAAACAGTGGTAGGTTCATGATGATAAATATGTATGCGAACTGACTAAAACACAAGGTTTTAAATTACTGAACTGTCTAAAGGAAGAACAGGTAAAGTACTGTAAAAGTTCGGAAATAGGAAAGGGAGCAAGAATTTGGAAAACCTTCATGGAAGACCTAACAACAAATTGGAGTGTGAAATGAAAGTAAGATCTGACATGTGGAATATGAGTGTAAAGAGCAGCATGACCAGGGACAAGAGTCCAGAGTTAAGAGCAATTGGTTCAGATGCACAAAGGGGATTAACAGGAAATGTGGAGGAAGGCTGAGGCAACATACAAAAACAGGGGAGACAGAGGAGCTTTGCAGAAAAACTGATTGATCTGATTGTGGACATCATCACTTGCAAGTGTCTATGACAAATACCCAGGCAGATATGTCACAAAGGCATTCCCTCCAAACATGGAAAGTTACAGGCACTGAAGGACTCCTTAGGAGGGCCACCAAATTCAGCAAATTCAAGTATAGGATGTCTAGATAAACCTAAAAAGTAGCTCTAACTGCTGAATTTTTGTAATTTATTTTAAAATGTAGAATACCAGACATTTAGGGTATTCTGAGAAGGCCAATACAGAAAGCAGGACAAAATCATTAAATATAGGACATGCCATATAATACATATACTTGGTGCCTAGAGGCCAGGTGTAGAGGCTCACACTGTAATCCTAGCACTTTGCAGGGGTGCTGGTGGTATAGTGGTGAGCCTTCCTAGCACTTTGGGAGGTTGAGGTGGGAAGAATGCTTAAGGTCAGGAGTTTGTTTGAGACCAACCTGAGTAAGAGCAAGACCATGTCTCTGAAAAAATATATAAAATTAAGCCCAACATGGTGGTACATGCCTATAGGCCTAGCTACTCGGGAAGCTAAAATGGAAGATTGCTTGAGCATAGGAGTCTGAGGTTGCAATGAGCTATAATGATACTCATGCACTCTTAACCTAGGCAACCTTGTGAGGACTTATTGCAAAACAACAAAACAAAAAATGCCTGCCAACTCTACTTCTTAGGGTATTTCCACCCATGAAATTCTACCCATAACTATAAGCAGTGCTTTCAGCTAGTACTAGGAGACCCACTTAACTAGACTGTATCAATTAAATTAACCAGAGTATATGCTGGAAAACTCAGAAGTCTATGTTCCATACTATGTTACTTGAAAATAAAATTCTTTTTTTTTTTT